ATTCCTAACCAATGATAAATATGTTTTGGAGCATTTTACTTAAATATTTTTAAAACCATATACTGTTTCATTACATTTTCATGATTGATGGGATTTATATTAATATTTTAATAGATTTTCATTAGGCACCCATCCCTGTAAGGAGCACATGTCGTGTAATCTGCTAGAATTTATTGCGCTTAACTGGCATTTGTGTGCATGTAATTCGATTAACTGAATCCATGCCAAAACAACTTGTACTTCCTGTGACCATAAAATATGTTTTTCCTTGTGGATGTATCTTTTTACATTACTCCAACTTTGTCTTTCAGGTGCTTTTATTGCGTATGATATTTTGGATTGTAAGCATATGGCAATCAAGTAGTTTATCAAATACCAAATATCAAAAGTGTCATTCAGTCATGCAGCATTTATGTGATTGATTCACAAATGCCAATATAAACTTGAGTAATTGAGTTTCTGATTTCGATAATCAATAGTCAGAACTGCATAGTTGATTAGGGCGAAATTCCGTCAAATGTTGGCATAAAGTCAAACTAAAACATTCTGAATATGGGTTTGTGGTAAATGTGAAACTATAACTGCAACTTATTAAACAAAAGTAATATCTTTATATATTTTTTACGTGTCGATTTGCACCAAGCAACCTCTCTACTTAGCATGCGAGCCACATAAATATTGTGGGAATCTTTGATTTATGGCTGGTGGGATTGTCTTCACAGCTTACCAGTAAATAATAAATATCCACAAATGATGATGAACACAAAACTTATCCTCGGCAACATGTTGCTGCTGTGTCTGCAGTGGTAAATGTTATTTTTGCTCCTTTTGTTTTGTCGGCGAGCGTTTCCTTTTCTTTTTCGACTCCCACTGCTTCAGTTTGATTTATGTGTTGACCTTTTGCAATGTTTGTTGGTTTGCTGGTTTGTTTGTTTGTTTGTTTGTTCGGCAAGCACTTGCACCTACTTTCATGCACTTGAAACCGATCGACAAGGCAACAAAAACCGCGTGCGGTTGCTACTTTTCGCCTTAAGAAGCAATTACTATTAATTCGTTTTTATTGGCAATTGCCGCTGCCGTTGCGCTCGTGTTTCGCTTGTTTACTTTTCCCAGTTGGCAATAGGAAAATGCTAGTAAATGGAGCAACGCCAAAGCCGGAGATTGCCGCAAATTTGCATAGCCTGTAAAGCAGTGGAGTCGCATGCGAGGAGGCGATTGCCCAATAGGCCGCCAAAATAGCGGGTGGGTAAAAGCAACGCTTCACAGTTGAAGTTGCACAGTTGACGTTGCAGTTGCAGTTGCAATTGCCTCAGATGTTTTTCTCTCTTCTGAACTTTTCCTGGCACAATGGAGCACACGAATAGGGCAACACAACACAAATGGTATAATAATAATACAACTTCTTGATTCACTTTTATTATGGCGGTCTGCAGTAATTCTTGGGCTTCTCTGATCGCCAGACAAGTACAACAACCATTCAACCAGACGCTTCGACCTCAACTGACTGCAATTGTTGTGGAATCGAGCACGAGTACTTGGCGGTCTACTCAGAAACCACAAACTCGCTCCACTCTGGAAAAACACTCCAGCTCGGATTTGAGTGGGCTTTTTGAGCCAGTCCTGAACTCGTTTGTCGTGCCTCCAAGAAACATACACGTGTATGTGTTCAACTTGAGCGCGCACTCGGCTAGCTTACTTTTAATTGTACTAACTAACTAGCTCGATCTGCTCTGCTCTTGCAGATCTTGCAGATCTTACGCAATGGCCAATTGCCGATGAATCACGAAAAAGTTCGCAGTTCGCAGTCTAGAGAGCCCCGAACCCTATTTTGGGCAACCTTCGAGCGGAAAACTAGCCTCAAAAGAACAAAAAGCCAGCCACCTAGGCCACAACGTCTAATTAATAGTGTAATTAAGTTTTTCACTTCATATTTTGGACTTCTTAGCCGACTGGAGACTGCGATAGAGCGGAAAAGCCTGTGCTGAATGACACTTGGTTGCGATTTGGGGGCCTTTCATTTTTTAGAGGTTTTCTGACGCTTTTTTGTTTAACTACTGAAACTCAAAAAATTACTCTGAAGAGGAATTCCAAGTATAATTGTAATACCTTCAAGCATTATCGCAGAAAATGCAGAAAGCCTTACTTTGCACAAATAAAAAACGATATTTTAAGAATTATTGAAGATATAAGTGTTTAATTCCAAGCAAATGAAAATCTAAGATTTCCGAAAATTTATGAAAATTAAATTTAGCTGAAATTAATAAATCTAGCACAGTATTTTTGTAAGTGTCTTGGCCAAGAGCATCCCGCCTGCGAACGTTCCACAGTTGACCTTGTGCTGCAGGTCTTTGGCAGCCACAGAATGCGACTTGGTCGCAGAGGCTTCTTCTGGCCAACCAAGAGTCTTCTGGGCCCGCATTTCAATGAAGTTAATGGAGACACAAAGGAGGGCTTTGGGCGGGGTAACTAAATTACTCTGCCATGTGCCGTGTGCCATGTGCCGTCCAGCATTCGCAATTAGCCTTGTCCAGGGAATGCCAATCGGATTGACCGGCTGATGCTGCTGGTGGCTTTTGGCTAACATCAGTCAGGCAGCTCAGCTTGGTCCAATCTTGGGTAAGGTAGTAGGCACACCTCAAGGCCTCCCACATAAATCATAATCACATTAGCCCCTGGTCCAGTCGGATTGAGGCGCGCAGAAATCGCTGTGCGTTCGCTTCCCCGATGGTTAATTGCAAAAATAAACAGCAGCAAAGCGTACTCAAATTATGTATTATATAAAAGGAGAAACAATTATTAATGGCAAAAGCCAAAGAGTCGCGACTGGGCATTACGCAGCCGATCTGAGCCAAGTTGAAAATCAAAAAGCTGGCTAACGAGGCGGCGCAAAATGCTACCAAAATGCTACCAAATTGCGTGTCCGTCCGTCCGATTGTCTGTAATTGATAAACTGGCCAAAATGAACTCGACTGTCTGTCTGTGATCGACTGACGTCGCTTAACTTACCGCAAATGCTGATTATTAAACAAAAAATGTACGTTCAATCCTATTAAAAACTGCGTTTAATAATCGCAGTTGCGCACACTTTTCTGTTGCATGTAGTAACTTTAATTGCACACTAATAGTTTTAATGTTATAAACGAAGTGTTATAAGCGAAATCAATGTAGAACTGCCGAAATTTTCATCAAACAAACGCCGACAAGGCTTTGTAATCTCCAGAGGCATATTAAATCAAAGTGAAGTCTGTGTTCGAGCTGATCAAGTTATGTCAGTATTTTCGCAGAGTTCACAAAATGATGGCAACCATTTTTGAGTGATTGATATTCGGCCAGTAGACTTACGATCGCACACTAATCCCACAGCAGTCCGATGCGAATTTCGTGTTTCTTAATTGTATTTATAATAATAAGCGCGGAAAAGGGTCTCCTTTTATTTGATGAATTTATACGGGGCAGTTGTGTTCCATTGCTTGCAAAAATGTCGATTGATATAGGGTAAAGAACAAGTTTGCGACCAAATGAAATATTTATGTTCTGGATCAGTCTCAACAGCCATTATCTATTATAGGTATCCGACTGTACCCGACCACTATATCATATAGCGCAAGAATTGATTATTAAGTTGATTATTTCGGTTTTCTGACAATATACGTTATGAAAATCAGACACCTGCAGAGGAACAATCGGAAATTTCATTAAAAATAACAGAATATACGGTGTTTTTTTGTTAATTTATATGTTCTTCAGTTTTTTCAAGGGTATATAAGCTTGGGCTACCTTTCTTATTTAATTAAATGTATCAAGCCAGAACATAATACATTAAACAAAACGATGTACATGTAAGGAAATGCCAGAAACACTCGCATATTTTATCAAATAATTTACTCATTGATTAAATTTTGTTCGATTGAAACTTAGTTGATATAGGGGGTTGGTATTCTTCCACAGAATAGAACACTGCCTTGCTCGTAAAGATTTTTGTAAGCACTTTAGCCCCGAGAAACTGGCAGTCAGCTCTTGGTTTTCTATCTCAACACCAAAGTGTTTTTGTGGTCAAGTAAACTTAATTGGCGAGGACTGGATGGGAGTATGAATTGGGTAACTGGGGACTCTTGATAGACAAGGTAAACAATAAACATGTCTATGCCTATGATATGAGGCTCTCAAACTCGACGCCAAACCCTTGACAAGGTCAGCTGAATTGGTTTCAAAGTGCCCCGAGCGACGGGAATGGCAAAACGATCCGCGTTTCGTTTTAATGATGTGCCAGATTCGGGCTCCTACATGGTTTCATTTACACGACAACTCTAGCGATTGGATCGCTCGATGGATGCCCGTTTATGGCAGAACAGCCCGCTGGCGCGAACTTGCCTGTCATCCGCTACAAATCAGCTGTCATAAGCCAGATCCAATCGGATCCGATCCGAGTCGGGGCAGCATTATTTCGGCGATTGTTACAATCACTTTCAAAACCCAACTAACAGCAACATAATCGCTGATAATGATCATTGCCACTTGACAATCGGCGGAGAAGATGATTGCGATTAACACCATCGGAAGATGCAGTGTTGCCCGTTTCGATTGGAAAGGAAGTAACCAGCAATAGTGGTTATAAAAATAGTTGAAACCCCTTCTTAGTCTGGACTTGCTTTGAAGTTCTTCAGCGTACTAGTAAAATGCTAAATCAATTTGCATCAGCTACATACATGTATTTCTGATTAGGTGGACTTAAACTTGTCTTAAGTTTATGAAAGTAAGCGTTGTGTGAAAACAAGACGAACTGGCTGCTCTGAGAAGTGGCCACCGATGGTCCTCCATTGGGGACTGCAAATTTAAAATCCGAGACGTTCGCCATTCACCTGGAGCGGCGGATAGGTGAGGTCGGGTTAGGTGGCAACTGCTGGCAACGCAGAGTCATTAGAATGTGCAACGTATTAATCTGCATGGCTATCTTCATCCAGCTAACCACAGACATTTTCCGCCACTTCTTGCACTCGCAGGTGGTTCGAGCGGCCAAGCAAAAACTGAGCGACTATGCCGCCGAAACGCTGGCCAGCATTTCCAAGCGGTTTTCCCACCTGCACGGCCTTCTCCAGGTGGCCGAGCTGCAGGTCATCGAGAAGCTGCGCGAGTCCAGTTGGCCGCCGCAGATGAAACTCAACGAAGCCATGGGCCAGCTGGATGGCTACGAAGCTGTCATCAAGGTGGGTGTCTGGGTACAGACGGTTTAGCTAGACGGTTTAGTCCTTATTAAAATGCACCATTCCTTACATAGCGATTAAAAAGGAATTTGGAAAGTGGAGCAGACAACAACTTGGGCGTACCCAGCGATGTCTCGCTAAACTGGCTGCTCAAGCTCATTTGCGAACATATCGAGAAGATGCCCACAACTGTGCGGGTCAGCAAGATCGAGGAAAATCCTTACCGGTAAGTAAATTATGCCGATTTTATTGCTCAATGATAATGATTTTGTTTAATTTTTTTAGCGTTACCTGCAGTAGATTCTTGGACATGTCCAACATATTCAAGTGCGAGTTTGTGGACCCCAATATACAAGTTTGTTTCAAGACCGACTTCGAGAGCAGTCGTAGGCTTTCATCGTCGCCCAAGTCCTCCAGCGGTGGCAGGGAAAACTTTCGTCCACTTTCAGCCAATCGTATATCAACCCAAAAGTCGAAGCTGAACCCAAACCAAATGTCACAGAACCAAAATGTCGCCAGTCTAAATTCATCCGCCGCCATTGTCGATGACTTTCCAGATATTCTCCACAACTTCTCGGCATTGGTATTCATCAAGCCCAATAAAACGGCTGAGGACAGCAGCGATTGGTTCAAGACCGATGCACTGGTCAGGGTGCGCTCGGTACACTCCCCGGAGGATTTCTATGTGCAAAGCATCCATGCCGCCCAGCGATTGCAGGAGGAGATGGATACCTTTACGCAGCCACTTTCGGGCAGCTGCTCCGTTCCGCCAGCTATCGTGGTGGGTCAGCACTACATTGTGCACCGCAAGGATCAGGACCGATTCTATCGCGCCATGGTCAGCCAAAAGCTGACCACTCGAGGTGTTTACAAAGTTTTCCTGCCGGATATGGGCCTCTACCTTAATGTCCACAGTGGCGAGTGAGTTCTCTGCACGAATTCTGCAGGACAATTTCCTTCTGCAATGCAATCTCTTCCAGCTTCCGTGTGGTGCCGGAGCGTCTATCCCACCTGCCGTACTCCGTCCTACACTGCAGCCTAAGGGAGTTGATGCCTGGCCATGGTGGATCCGAGTGGGGCACTAAAGCGAGCGGCTTCCTTAAGCAGATAGTGCAGAAGTAAGTTATTCTGAGCCGCCCCAAAAATCCGACAATTTCCCAGTCTTCTGGTTCTAGCAACCCCGTGCATCTGATCGTCAATAAAGCCCTGACCCATGAACTGCATGAGGTGGACCTGATCACCAGCAACTACAACACCAGCATCTCCGTGCGCGATTCTTTTCTATACTCTGGCCTGGCGCGCTCACGCTGCGACCGGGAGTCAGCTATGAGTCCTCAATGGCTGCAGCCTGCTCCTACTGCGCTTCGTCTACCCAGGATGTCGTTTCAATTCGGAGACGTGCACATGATCCAGATGCTGCACGTGGAGGACCCGCAGGAGTTTTATGTCATGCGCCACGAGAACGAGGAAAAGCGCTCGTTGTTGCAGGCCAGCCTGCAGGCGGCCATGGAGCGCATTAGCATAAGCCAGTTGCAAAACATCTTTCTTGGACGGCTGCGTCTCGGTTGCGTGCTGCAGTCGGATGGACAGTGGAAGCGTGCTAGCATTGAGCAGATCCTTGCCGACGGTGAGTTTAGACAGCCATGTTATAAGTGGTCGTATCTAATACTAATAAAATTATGCTTTTTCGCAGGATATGTTCTGGTGCGCCTGGTGGACGAAGGTCCGAGCCAGAAGGTTTTCTGGAATCAATTGTTTGTGCTGCCTCCGAATTTTTGGGATACAGGGCTGGCCATCAAGTGCTGCCTGGCGGATGTGGAGACCTGTGCAGAGCATTCCTATATGTGGACTCCAGAAGCAACGACCTGCTTTAAGCAGCTGACCTCAAATCCAAAACTTTACATGGAAGTTATTCGTGCGACGACGGATGTGGTCTACGTGGCATTAAACTTTGTCCGCTCCAACTCGGAAACCACAAGTGTTGGAGTGCAACTAGTGGCCCAAGGATATTGTACCTCCAGCGGGGAGAGCAGTAGGACGATCAATCCACCCGAGTCCACACGATCTGTGCGTCTTGATGTGGAAACCCAGAAGTTTCTTGCACAGCAAAGGGACCGGCCAGTGGTGGAAGTGTCACCTTACCAGAAGCACGATAATACCGAGCGCAACAAACGAACAACTGTCCGTGTTCTTCACGTTCGGAAGCCCGATGAGTTTTACGTGACCTTGCCCCATTTCGAGCCAGCCATCCTTACCTTGCAGAAGTCGGTGCAGAAAGCAGCTGCCGCAATGTACCAGAATATGGTGCCCAGAAGCAATTGGCAGGTGGGCGACATGTGTTATGCGCGGGTTCAAGCCAAATGCGATTCGCTGGTTTTATGGCATCGGGGAATCGTCAGAAAAGTCATACAACCTGGTATTACTTCCCAAATGGTACGCTGCCATGTGCAGTTGAGGGATTTGGGTGAGCTAGTCGAGGATGTGCCCAGTTCGTCTCTGGCCAATATCGATGAGGCGAACATGCGCATTTCAAGCAGCGCAAAGCGTTGTCACCTACACGGAATTCGGGCTACTGGTGATGAATGGTCAAAAGACGCCATTGAATTCTTTATGGATCAGTTGCAGGCTTATGACGATATTCACGTGACAGGATTCGGGCATGCGGAAAACTCTTTGAGCGTTGTCCTATGGGGTTCCCTCTCCATAGTCAGTGGAGCCTTTTCGCCCGCTCGTATAAAGTACGTTAATATCAACAAGGTTCTCCTGATGGCCGGAATGGCACAGAAGGATCTCAACCTCAACTTTGATAACGAAGACCAGCAATCGATGCCGGAAAATGTAAGCGTGAGCTTCGCAGAAACTGCGAAATCCATTGACTTTGAGATCTATAGAGACCAAAGTGATAGAATTACGAAGACTAAAAGCCTAAGCCCCATTGATTCGCCAGGGCTGAAAGCCGGCTTCGAGCACAACGAGGACATGCCGCCGCTAGAACTGCTCGAGGATTTGGGAAAGACCAGGACTACAACGGGCGAGGAAACACCACCCGCGGCTTGGATTACCCGACGTAAGTGCGATAAGGCCATTTTCACGGCTATCGCCACCAATGTGACCTACGAATGCTGCATATACTTGACTCTCGCCAGCGATAAGCCCTTCATCGAGCACATGCGCAACCTGCTGGTACGGGAATACAAGCCACTAATGGAAAAGCAACAGCGATCCACCTGCCATGCATACAAAGTGGGGCAAGCGGTGGTGGTCACCTATCACATGGACAACCTGATCTACCGAGGAATAGTACAGCGTCTGGAGAACAATCACGATGAGTACACAGTGTACTACGTGGATTACGGCAACATGGAGCTGGTCAAGGCCGATGAACTGCTTCCATATGCTCCGTTCCCGGACCTGAACGCAATGTGTTTTCTGGTGGAGATTCACGGAGTGCGATCAAAACGAGGAAAGTATTCTGTACAGGAAATGGATACCGTCCACCGCACTTTGGTCATGAAGCTGAGCAGTGTCCGTATTGTGGATGCCGAAACAGTGGGTGTGAACAAGCTGCCCACATGCCAGATCAAGGTGGGCAATGTTGACATTGGCACCATGATGATAGACTGCAACATGTCCGTACCTATCGAAAAGCAGCCAATCAAAAAAAAAACTCTATATTTACCTTTACAAAAAGCTCTCGAGGAGTTCAAAGTATTTGACGAGCTTGACAACCTGGCCTCCGGGGAGGGAGAACTATCAGAAGAAGAAGCTCCGCGCACCCAGCGTAAGCAAGGAAGCATTTCATCGGTTCAGCAACCGCCCATTAAGAAAAAATTCCTAGTAGATCAGAAGGAGGTTGAAGCCTTTAACTGTGATCAGGATTTTGATTGCCAGCAAGCCGCACAGAAAATGTCCCTCAACAATAGTTTTTATTTCAGCGACTTTGGCAAATACGCTGGTGAAACAGCAGCCGATGGATCAGATGATAAGCTGTACTCAAATTCCTCTGAAAATATGGAAATGGAAGTCTTTGCCAACAATGATGGCAGTCAGTTAGAGCCTCTAAATTCCCTCGCCGCCGATCAGTTGAGGCGCCGCATTGCTTTGCGTCAAAAGGTGAATAAAAATACTATTTATAATATATAATACAAATTTTTTTCAAAATTATGATTACATTTTTGAAGGAAATGAAGGCGAACATTAGCTTTTCGCCTATGGACTCCTCGTCGGTGAGGTCTTTCTACGACGGCAGTGGGAGCTTCAAAACCCTAAACCTTCCCAACGGAGTAAAACAGTTCCAGTGCACGGTGGACAACGTACTATCGCCCACGGAGCTGCAGATCGCCCCATGTCTTTCGGAGTTTACCAAGTACGAGATCGGGCTGATCCAAGAGACGAGCACCTTGATCAAGGACACGGAACCACTGAAGAAGCCAAGGATAGGCGACTTGTGTCTGGCCCGCTATTCGAGGGATAAACAGTGGTACAGGGCCATAATCAAGGAGATTCCTCCAATCGTATCTCCAACCAGTGAGCAAGCCACGGTATTCTACATTGATTTCCATGACACCGAAAGTGTTTCGTTTAACCACCTAAAAGTAATGCCCAGTCGGTTGTTTATGTTCCCCTTGCGCTCTTTCCGCGTCAAATTGCACGGCGTTAAGAAAAACAAGAATTTCGAAGACAAATCAGTGCGCCAGGCACTGCAGGCCTGCCTCTGCAGACATCCGCTGCTTTTTGCCCGGGTACACTATCCTCTCAACTATCACGCCAACAATGTTGACCGCTCTAATGGCGAGTCCGATCTCATCGAAGTGGAGCTTTTCGAGAACAGGCACAGTAAGAAGCTCGTGTACCAATCTTTGTGTGAAAATTGGATGTTCCTGACAAGAACCTAATGGCTAAAATCACAAATAATTTTTATTAATTACTATATTTCTACGCTACATAAAAGAATATGTATGACAGTATTACTCCATATTTTAAGTTTTTGTTACCATTAAAATAAAGAAATTAAAATTTAATTTCAAGCCAGAAACCGGTGATTTTTTACATTAAATTGATGTTAAATTCATGTTTTCGGCTTGGACTTCTCACTTTTAGATATTTTCTAGCCGCTCCTTTTTGCTGGTTTACAATATCCTGAAACTGTGATATAGTTCTCGAAGTTGGAACTGAGTTGTACTTTTATCAGTGGTGTCAGTCGCCTCCCACCTGTCGTCCCGTAAGAGAATCAATAAAAGGCGCTGATCGTTTTGTAATTATCCATAAATTGAATTTATTTCCTTCATAGAATGGGATTCTTTCCATTAGTTCTCATTGAAATCTTTATCGTAAGTTGTAAATATTTTAAAATTGTTTTGTTTTCATTTGTTTGTTTTCGTATTATGATGCATGTATGCATGTATTGTGAAATTTTATTTATACTTAAGTTGGGTTCACTTAGAGCTACAAATTTTAACTAATGCTGCAATAAACCATTAAAACAATCCTTTAAAATAGCCTAGAGAAGTTGCAACTACTATAAATCAAAAATATGCTACGTACATCGAAATTTGTTATCCAATATGACAGTTGTGTTCGCTTACGTTCGATTGCTGGCAGAGTTTTCTCTTTAATTAGAAAAATACAAATTATATAACAAGTTGTTAGATGGGTGTTCGTTTTCTGTGTATGTGTCCTTCGCTTAGAATGTGCTTAAGTTCTGGAAAACTCGAAAGTTTTAAGACCAATTTCGGCTAACTTAAATTAACTAGTATGCTCTTCTAGGCATGGATAAGTAAATGAATAAACTTAATGCGAACTAAACTACAGAAATGAAAAGTATCGCGGCATATAGTATTTAATCGATGTATATTGCACTGAACTAGGTATAACATTTTACTAAAGTGGGTTAAAATCTAAAACCTAAATGGGATTAAAGCGGTTGACGCGAATTGTAATTCGAATCCAGAGGAAGAGAATGGGGAACACTTTCACATTTAGCTACGTTCTTAAACCACATCCAAAATGTAAGATTAGTAAAATGTAATTATTGTGATAATTGTTTCTTGTTTGCTTATTCAACAAGAGTTGGCAATCGCATATGTTAACTAAATATATAGTTCGATAAGTAATACTAATTTGTTGTTTTGTTTTGTTGTTTTAACCACAGACACACACAGTACACACATAGAAGAGTCATGAACAACTACCTAGGTAATGATTATATTAAACTTTAGTTCGATTACGAAGCCCAATGGCACCGAACATCCTTAGGCCTCCACCGTGAACGGATCGCGCGAATGGTGGATCTTCAGATGCTTGTTGTGGTTGGTCTTGGTAGTGGAGCTCTTGCCGCAGATGGTGCACGTGAACGGACGCTCTCCGGTGTGCATTCGCCGGTGCTCTATCAGATAGTAGTGTCGATGGAAGGACTTATCGCACTGGTCGCAGGTGAACTTCTTGGTGCCGTGATGTTCGCGCCGGTGTCGCATGTAGTTGTACTTGCGGATGAACTTGCAGCCGCAGTACTCGCACGTGTACGGCTTGATCTGCTTATGCGCGTTGATGTGGTTCTTGAAGTCTAGCTCTCGCACGAACGCTTTTGGGCAGTACTCGCACTTAAAGGGCTTGGCTGTCCGGTTGGCGTGTACCCACGAGTGGATCTTGAGATTCCATTTGGTGGAGAAGCTCTTGCTACAAATGGCGCAATCGTATTGGGGCTCCGTTGAATGCGTCGCCATATGCGCCTTGATGGACGTCTTCGCGAAGATCTGCTTACACATAGGGCATTCCATAGGCTCGGCGTAGTCAAACTTATCGGAGTGGGCAAGCCGAATGTGGCGGCGTAGGGAGTTGGCGTGCACAAACCGATCGCAACAGTACGGACAGCACTTCGGCTTCAGGTCGTGCGTTTCCTTGTGCCACAGGAAGCGAGCCTTCGAGGGCAAAACTTCACCGCAGTGGCACACGTATTCCTTTTTGCGCACCATCATTTTGGTGTGGCGCTTGCGGTGCTGCGTCAGATTCGAGTATCGCTTGAACTTTTTGCCTGTTGTGTGTATAAAAGGAGTGAGTTAGGAAAATATAATAGCTTGTGTATGAGAATGCTGAGTATATAAGTATTTCTACTACATCGATATGAATAACTTATAGACACATGGTATGAATAATAAATGATGTATTTGAATTACCGCATATCTTGCACTTGAGAGGTGTTTGCCCCGTGTGCATCCGCATATGTTCGACCAAGGCGCTGCGCACCACGAACTTCTTGTCGCAAACGTAGCATCCGAACTCCTTCCAGCCCAAGTGCCGCTTAAGGTGTAGGGAGAAGTTCTTCCAGCGGTAGAACTTCTTGCCGCAAGTGAAGCATTCAGCCGGGTGCTCAGTGAGATGGGCGTCATAGAGCTTTACGGACGGGAAATCGGTACGACAGACGTAACAGAGAAATATGGATTTTTCCATAGCCTTCTGCTCCAGCTCACTAAGGTTGTTGCGCTCCTGTCCGAGCTTGGATTCGTTGTAGGCGATGAGCATTCGATACAAAGCTGCTAACTTAGCTGCTGGCGTCGTCATGGCTAATGGCGGCAGCGTTGGCTTTTCATCTAGCTGGTTGGGTGGCTTGATGTCATCATCCGCATCACAGTCACCATCACCGCCGATGCCCATCAGCTCAGAGTCCTTGACATCAGCCAAGAGTTCGGAATGGTCGTGCATTTGTTCAACATCCTGCTTTTCCTGGCACTGCTCCTGTTTTATCTTCACAATGCCATCTTTGGAATCCTCAACCTCACCTGCCTGCAGCATCATCTGCTGCTGTGGCGGCAACATCGAAGTATTGATTTGCGGCTGAGTGCAAATTAGACGCCGATTTTGCCGCACGTAGTTGTGCTCGCCAATCATGTGCGCATTGCGCTCTTTAAGCTTTTCGAAGATCGCCTCGCAGTGAGGACACTTGTAGAGCTTGCGGCGCTGCGGTTTCCGCTGGGCAAGAGCAGCCGCCTCCGCTGCCGCCTCAGCAGCAGCCCGTGATGTCGAAGCTATGGGTGGACCCGCCAGCATAGCCGATGACGTACATGCAGAAGAGGTGGCCGCTGTCGGGAGGACATCTGCCAGATGGCTCCTACGCGTGCTAGATGAAGCCTCATCATCAACAGCATTAAAGTCAAAACTGTCGGAGTTTAGGAGATTGAAAAACCTTTATACCTCGTCTTTATAGATTAAAATTCCAACTCTTACCGTTTTTGCTCCCTCTGCTGAGCGCTGAGATCCTGAGCCGGATAATAATCCTGTCGCCAATCAGGGTTGTAGCCGCCAGAAAACTGGTTTCTGAAATACCGCTGAGAAATATCCCCATAAACCTGTACATAATTAAAATTATACTTAGTTGTGGACAAAACCGAAATAAAATTAAACTTACCGATTCACTCCAGGAGTTCTCGATGTCGCAGTTGCTCTCCTGCTCGGAGATTTCTCCCTTGGCGGGCATCTTCTCATCGGTGCGGATATTCAGACCACCCACCAAACTGCTTTCCGTGCCAGCACCAGCGAACGACGACGACGTTGTGGACGCTGAGGCGGAGGGCAGGTTGCTGCTGCTGCTCAGCTGCTCCCGCTTGCAGGCGTCCAGGTCCAGATATTTTGCATCCTCGTCCAAAGCAACGCTACAGCAATCGACGGCCGCTAGAGCAGCATTAAAGTTAGTGGGCTGGTGGCTGACCACATCCTGACTCTGATTGGAGGGAGTGGCTGTTCCCGATTCTGCACCACCCTGATTTTGTGGATCGTGCTCCGGCTCTTGCTGGTACCATGACTGCAGCGATTGGGTTTTGGCCACCCGGAATGTAGCATTCATCGAGTCGTGGTCCATTGAATTGCTGGACGACGAAGCCAAAGTGGCCGCATTGGTGGCATCGCTGACCCCGTGTTGCTGCTGATGATGATGCTGCTGCCTAGAGAAGGGATTGAAGTATGTGGCCGTCGTGGCCGTGGTAGTGGTCTGGTGGTACAGAAAGTTAAAGTCCGGCGGCTGTAACGTGTTCTGCACCTGGGCTGCGGAGGAGGTGTAGGAAGACGACGAGGATAGCAGAATCTCATCCACGTCCATGTTGTTGTCCGGCAGGATGTACTCCTCGCCCGGCTTGGCCGGTGCTTTGGAACAGCTGCTACTGCTGCTGGCGAAAACTGACCCCGCCGAGGGAAACCCTGCACTGGCATTTACCACGAAAGTGGTGCTGGATGCGGCCAGTGGCGGCGGCTGCTTCGAGTTCGCAAACTCCAACAGCACTCGAGCATCGTCATCGTTCACCGCCGAGTGATGCTGCAACAGTTTGCGGCTGGTAGTCAGGTGCTTCTCCAGAATGCTACTGCTACTGCTCGGCGCTGGCGCCTCCACGGTCTCACTCTTTACCTGCACCAGATCTCTTGATATGGATGGGTTGTTGCTGGGGGAAGATGGGGTGTCAGTCTTTTTTGTTGTCGTCGCAGTCGCTGGTGCTGGTTGTTTTGGTTTGATGACTAATTTCTTAGGCCCACGATGCTGGGCGGGAGTTGAAAAGCGCTGCGGTAACAATGTGGTGGTCGCCTCGACCTCGACTTTCATGGGCGGCGGCTGTGTGAGATCCTCGGGAGACACTTCGGTCGCCGTTGCAGATGTAGGCGCTGCAGCCGTGCTTGCCATTCGAATAACGCTGGTAGTACCGTGCTCAAGACTGGGCTTCTGCTCCAGCTCGGCATTAGCGGCCAATGCCACGTTGTCGTAATCATCCAAGGGCTCTTCCTTCTCCACCTTAACGAGTGGTATAGGAGCCACAGCCGCAAACGGTCGACTTGCCCCAATACGACTGGAGGCTACGATGTTGCCCATCAAATGGAGGTACTCATTCATATTGAGCGGAACATCGCTGAGTACAGT